TTACTGTACTTACATCTTGGGCCGGGGATTTAGCTCAGTGGTTTCGCTGCCTGCTGCTCAAGCGCAGGGACCCGAGTTTGATCCCTGGTACCAAAAAAAAACAAAACAAAACTATACGTACATCTTGTGGATGTCAAATAAGAGAAACCACAGGGCCATTTTGGTGGATTCCAATGAAAACAATGTGAAAATAGGAATAGAATCATCCTCCCTTAACAAGGTGAAGACATGTTCTAAACCATAGCCTCACTCTACTTAACTTTGAACCACAATAGCTGAACCCCAGCCCCCCGAAGACAGTTGCGCGATTTCAGTGAGGTTGGAAATGCACATCTGTCCTGTATCAGAGTCACAGACATAGTAGCACATTAAGAAAATCTGTAAGTCAAGGACGGTGGTGCCTGACAATTGGGCTTGGCCTTTCTTTTCCATTTCTGAGTATCGAAAGAGTCCGTGGCTCATAGACATCCCCTGAGAAGTGGCAGCTAGTGCTATTGCACTGATTAGAGTTGCACTGACATTACGGGGCCCAATGTTTCCTATCCCCATGGGCACCCCAGGAAGGAGGCAGCAGATCAGGCTGTGGACCTCTGCTCAATATGTGCTAAAGCCCTGCCTTGATGGGATAAGGAGCTGAGCCTTGAGTGAATGGAGCCCAGACAGGGTTTGGAGAAACCAATAGTTGTAATTTGCCCACATGCCATTATCGTGCGAAGACTAAATTCAGTCACATGTCACTTAATCCCCAAGAGCATGCTCTACCCACGAGCAGCCCTAGCATGAGCTTGGGGCTGGCCTCACACAAGAATCCCCACAACAAGAGCTTTATTTCTACTGAATGTTGGACTGGGCCTGACCTAGGAGTTCAGCACTGCTCAGCTACCTCCAAATTCCCGGTGCTGACCTGGGAAATTACAAGGAGTGTTGCTGGCTCCTATCACCCTATCCATGGTCCTGGGAAACTCAGCTGTCCCTTTAGAATGCCCCTTTCCTGGCTGGCTTAGTGACACATGCCTGTCATCTTAGCTACTAGAGAGGCTGAGCCAGGATCACAGATTCAATGCCGACCAGGCAACTTAGCGAGGCCTTATCTCAGAATAAAAACTAGAAGGAGCTAGGAAGATAGCTCATTGGTGGAGCAGGTGTGAAACTCTGTTCTCAATCCTCAGTACTGCCCCCCTCACCAACTTCCCAAAAAGAACACCTCTTTCCTTAGAGTTGAATCCAAAAGCATTTTGTGACCAAGCTGCTGGGGCCCCACCTTCCCTTACCCCACTCTACCACCCATTTGGAAATCTTAAAAAAGCAAAAGGTAGAAAAATGCCAGCCCCAGATTCCTATCCCAAGGTGAGTTCCTCGCAAGACGCACACTATTCCCAGAGCCACCTCTCCACTCTGCGCTTCCCCCACACCACCCTTAGATTATCTGGGAGGGACCAGACTTATGTGGTGGGCAGGACTACAGTCTCACTGCCCCCAAGCTTCCATCTCAGTTAAAATAGTGAGGCTGGGGCTGCAGCAAAAATCAGTGCGTGAGAATGGATCTTATCAAGGCTGTGGAGAAAAGGTGCCCTTCTTTGTTACTGGTGGGAATGTAGACTAGCACAACCACTATGGAAATCAGTATGGAGATTCCTCAAAAGCTAAAACTAGAAATTCCATTTGGCCCAGGTATACCTGTTCTGGATATCTTCCCAAAAGAGTTAAAGACATCTTATTACAGTGATCCATGCATACCCACATTTATAGCAACTCAACTCATAATAGCTAAATCTTAGAAGCAACTTGTGTGTCCATAAACAAATGAATAAAGAAAATGTGGTATTTATATACAAGGGAGTACTACTCTGCTATAACAAAGGATAAACGAGTCATTAGTAGGAAAATGAATGCACTTAAGACCATAATGTTAAGTCCAATATTTCAGACACACAAGCTTAAATATTGAATGGTTTCTCTTGTATGAAAACTCAAATAATAAATAAAGAGCAAATAAAAGATAACAGGAAAAAGACAGATTTTTCTTTTCTTATTAGTACATATCTGCAGTAGATAATGTGTATATTCTTTTTGTGGCATTGGTGCCTGTACATAACATGTCTTCATTCCTTTTTCATTCCCTTTCCTACCCGTCCCCCATCCTTTCATCCCCTTCCCATTGGAGAAAGAGCTTACCACTTCCTATTGTGTACAAATGGCCAGCAAATATATGAAGAAATGCTTGATGTCTCTGGTCATCAGAGAAATGCAAATTAAAAATACTGAAATTCCATCTAACCCCAGACAGAATGGCCATCATCAAAAAATTAAATAACCAGCCAGTGGTAGCACACTTGCCCTTATGCACAAGGCTCTGGGTTTGATCTCCAGCGCAATCAACCAATCAATCAATATTTCAAAATAAAAATTTTTTTTTAAATCAAATAATAACAAATGCTGACAAGGCTGGGTGACTGGGGCCTTCTACACTGTCAGTGGGAATGTAAACTCCTACAATCACTGGAAATCCGAATAGAGATCGATCTGTTGCAAATTAGGAGGGGACCAAGAAGAGATGGAGGGAGGGAGGAAGGGGGAAGTAAAACATTAAGATGTGTGATGCACATGCACCAACTCCGCATGAGAAATGTAATCATTATGTACTGCAAACGTGTACTAATGAAATATTTTAAAAAGAATTCAATGGGGAAAAGTGTTAAAAAACTGACTCAAGGTGTAAACACCTCCATTATTGAGAGAGACAGACAGAGACACTGGAACTTAGGGGAGAAGAGGCCAGCATGTGGTTTCCTCCTAGCAAAAGCCCAGGACACCTTATCAGGCAGGTAAAACACCAGGCACATGGTAAGCAGTGAAAACTGGTAGCTATTACTAAGACCCTTCACTGTGAACGTATTTGAATATGTATGTTTGGATGTCAAGACAGACCAACCTCAGGGAAATCATGATTTGAACACCAGCTCCTTGGCCTCTAGGGCAGTGATTCTCAACTTCCCCCCTGCTCCAGGATTCATTCAGCAAAGTCCAAAGACATTTAAGATCCTGAAATTTGGCACAGTCCCAAACTAGTCTTCCAAACCCTTTGCCCCGCCCCCCCAAGACAGAACAACATCTCTGGCATGTCATTAGGACACAAAAGGGAACGAGACCCTGGGAGACTCTTCTGATATGTTTCTTGTTGGAGGATGGACTTGAAACATTTTTCTTTAGCACTTGATGTTTGTTATTGTGGTTCTGTTTTTAAAACAAACAAATTCAAGTTGTTGCTTGGTACTCAAGTAGAAGCTCTGGCTACCTCAAGCATCTGAATAGGAGAACTCTGCTGTCTGTGTGAACATCTGCTTCTGGATGGGAGATAGAAAAGGAGAGAAAACCCGTGAGAGCGGGGGAGATGTGGGGGCTGATGATTCATGAAGATGGTGCTCTAGACCCTCGTGATCACTGAGCAGTGGAGAGACCCGGGCTCTGGCTCGAGTTCTCATACAGAAAGTTGGCAAGCCTGTTTTATATCTGTTGGCTCATCTGAAAACCGGGTCTGACATCCCCCAAACTTAGACTAGCAGGGCTGTTTGTGAAGATGAAACTGGGTTCTGTGAGTAAAAATGCTCTGAAAATTATTACTAATGTAGCACAAATACTGTTCACTGAGTTTTAACTAAAGCTCTGGATCTTTTCAACTTGCCAGCAACATTGAAATCCCCATCAATTCATCTGGAAAGCGTAGGCTCTGGGAAAGGAAAGAAATGGCTGTGGTGAAACGGGAGAAGAGGAGGGTCGGCAGGCCACAGGGACGGAGCAAGACCGCATCAGAGAGGAGTGGAAAGCCTGTCCTTGTTCCGAGCTGTGTGTACGTGTGTGTAACACAAGTCCAAATCATGAGACTTTTGTCCTGCGTTTGAAAGAGCAGAGCAAGTGGTGACTCAGAGACCTCTTTCTGTCCTCTGTGAAACTCTCCCTGGAGCTACCTCTTCCAGGAGAGCTCCAGCTCCCCAGAGAGGCTAGCTCATGGGTCTGCTGCCCACCGCACCGTCGGCACTGATATTGTGGTAACACATGTGCTTTCACTCCTGGCAAAGACTAATGATTTGTGTATGAACATAATAGCTGCCATTTATCAAATGTATCCCACTAGTGGGGCACTGTGTTCAATACCTGATGCTGTCCCCGTTGCTTCTAACAACCTGGAAAGTTGTCATAGTGGCTTTGTCCTACGATGACAAAACTGAGACCCTGGGTTGTCAGTCACTTGCCTGGAGTCACACGGGCCATATTGGCTTAGTGAGAATCCGAACCCATGGTTCTGGACCCAGGGACCCTGCCTGCTGCTCCATTCTCTCCTCCCAGACCTTCTTTGCAGGGTGGGGCCATGCTGAGTGGAGGAGAAGCTTCTCACTGAAAGTGTGTGTGTGTGTGTGTGTGTGTGTGTGTAAGGGATCAGCTATTGTATTTGGGGTTTCACAGTGACACATGGGAACAGGTGGGTACTGAGTCATCTTTTGAAGACTGAGAACCACTGTGATGGAGACCAGCAAGCTTGGGCACGGATAGTTACCCTCAACTCTGAGTGTCAGGTGGATGGTTTTTGTCTGTTTGCTCACCTCTGCTCCGCAGAGTCTGTTACTCAGGGAGCACTGTATGTGACACCATGAGAAATAGAAACCAGCCAGGCAGGATCGTCATCGGGGAGCCTCTGGTCCCTGAGGATTGGTCAGTAGGGTTTTGGAAGACTTTGGGACGTGTGGGATGTTTTGGTTCTCTCTCCTTCTTCAAGTTTCCTGAGTTGTCATTTGCATCCCCCCCGAGGTGACAGAGGCTGTGGTGGTGGTAAGGTGACTGTCAGTATATGCCGTGGGAACCTGACCCTGTCTGTACAAGGACATGGGCTAGGGTGGCTTCCCTGCATCCCTGGTGACCAAGCACAGGGCTCTTTCTCTGCTTGCTTTGAGCACTTGAAAGACCTCATCTCAACAACTGCTTTGTGTTTTCTGTCTCTTCTGCAGTACCTGCAGATGAAATGGCCTCTCCTCGATGTCCCCTCCAGTGCCACAGTCAAGGACACGAGGTCACCATCTCCAGCACACTTGGTAAGTCTGTTTCACCTTAAAGTACCAAAGGGGACAGTGTTTCTAGCCCTGACTTTTGCCTCTGTCTCCCTTCCACCTTCCAGAAGCTGGTTTAAGTACAGTCTGAGGCTGTGTGTGTGTGTGTGTGTGTGTGTGTGTGTGTGTGTGTGACTGAGGATTGAACTCGGAGACTTTACACTGAGCTACATCCCTGCCCTTTTTATTCTATATTTTGAGACAGGGTCTCACTAAGTTGCCCGGACTGGCCTCAAACTTTCTATCCCCCTGCCTCAGTCTCCTAGAGTGCTGGAATTACAGGTGTACACAGCCCCACCTGGCTGAGGCTGTGACTTGTATGCTCCCTGTCACTCCTTCCCCTCACCTCAACACACGGGCACACACCGCCTCTAGTCCTTCACTCAAAACGTCTTGCTCAGCTGCTCCCCATGGGCATCTGGATTTCTCCGGCTACTGCACATGGGCAGGGTCCTTTCTGTCCTGGGAGCTCATTCAGAATGGCCTCTTCTCGGTTCCTTGTAGCTGCAAAGCAGCAGTTAATGGGGCTCTCTAGGACCAGCTGCTACAGGAAAGAACCCTTTAAACCATGTGGAAACAAAAGCCCGTGGCAACAGTGGGCTGCAAAGCAAGGTCCGGAGGGCCTGGGAGCCAGGGCTAGTGCGATCCAAGCAGGTCATGCCAAGGACTTGAACTCAGAGCAGACAGGAGATGTCACTGGACCATGACTCTCATATCCCACCTTCATGGACTTTGGGAGCTTGGGTCAGTGCTTGCTTCTGGACCCACTCACCTTGCAAGCTAATGGTGTTTGTCCCCTGTCCGGTGAGACAAGAGTCACTGCAGATGCAGCTAGAGCATCTCTGGGTGCCATTGTGCTATGAGGGGATCTAGGGCTCTTGTGCTACGTGTAAGGTACTGGGATTCATGACTTGGCTAACGATGCAGAAAAGTGGAGCACATTATGCAATGAACTCCCATATTCCCTGCCCACACCTGCCCCTCCCACCACACATTGTGGTTTAAAGCAAATCCCAGATGTATTATTTCCTCTCAGAGGACATTTCAGGATATACTGATAATCCTTGCTCATTAAGAGCTTAGAGGCTAGGGCCGGGGATTTAGCTCAGTGGTTCCAGCGCCTGCTGCATAAGCTCAAGGTCCCAAGTTCGATCCCCAGTACCAAAAAAAAAAGAGCTTAGAGGCTAGTGGAGAAGGAAGATATGCATGGAATAGAGAGTGGCACAGTGAGCTTGTGTGACTTCCAGTAACCATGGACCAGCTTATAGCGGCAGCCACTTGGTAGCTGACAAGGCTGACATGTGTAGCTCTAGGATAGTTGCCATGGCCACCTGCCAGGGAGGCAGGTGAGAACATCTGAGTAGGGAACAAGGAGTGACCAGGCTGGCCATTCAAGGCAAGCTGCTCCAGACATGCACACCCTGGAGGCGGGTCCTGTAGCTGGTCACCAGGGCATGAGAAGCACATTGAACAGCGGCCCCAGGAACAGGCCAGGGGGTGGCTTTTGTACCTGCAGTCCACGTGGGATGACAAGCACGAGGTACAGGTGCCCAGTAGTGGTCTGAGTCAGCTACGGTGGAAGATATACAACCTCTTCCATCCCACCACAAGCCTGGTTTGTCCCCTTCTAGCCCTGTTTTCTCTGTCTCTGATCTCTGTCCCATAGCAGTCCTGACTGCTGTCCTCCCCTCCCTTCTGTCCACTTTCATCTGTTTATTCTCTCTTCTCTAGCTCCTTTTTTTTCATTTTTATAAAAAAAAGATATGATATAAACTACTGGACAAGGCATCCCAGTGTACATTTTTTTTTTTTTTTTTGGTACCAGGGATCGAACTCGGGACCTTGCACTTGCAAGGCAGGTGGCAGAACCACTGAGCTAAATCCCCGGCTCTTCCCAGTGTACAATTACATAGCTCCCCCACAAAACCTCATCACCAACAGCTGTTTAAATCCTAGAGTATGAGTTCTATTATAGTCTCATGTCTGCTCAACTACCACAGAGCCAGAGCAACCCCACAAACACGGACAGAGAAGTCCTGGAAAGGCCTGCTCTCGGACAAACCCTGACAGCCTACCATGCTGCAAACTGCTCCAAGATGGGGAAGAGACTGAAAGAAATTGACCCTAAACGTTTCACCAGGAGTATCCAGGGTGGCCCTGGCTCTCCCTGCTGGGCGAGGCCTGGAGACTCTTCAGCTCTTCTTCCTTGCAGACCCACCTGCAGGCTGCACCTGGGCTGAACAGGCCACTGCCCTGAGAGCTCCCAGAGACTCTCCCCACTCAGCCTTGGTTTGCACCTTGTAGCTCCCAAACAAGGAGTGTGTTAACTACCTCTTCCAGGGCAGGGGGTTCTTTGCAGAGTTTGAATCGCTCCAATAGCCTGCTCTTTCTGTTTTGGGGTGGGTCTCTGCATCTTGAGTCCAAGCTCCAACTTCTCCATGCACGAGGCCAGTTCCCAGGCCAGCTGCTCCATTCCACACAGAGGTCCTGTTCTGGGCTTTCTTCTTCTGTTTTCTCGAGACTGAGCCACCTTCACTGCCTATGGGGTGTGCTCCAGAGGCAACATCAGTGCACTTAAGTTGTTCTGAGCAGAGACACAGGAAGGACTCAGGGCTGCAGGCACCAGGCCAGGATGCCAGGATTTGTAGCATTTGGACACTATTGGGGCACAGGACTGCTGGCACGTTCGGAAGAGGAGGTCTAGAGCCACCCTGTGCCTCAGTGGCTGCGGGAACTTACATACAGCTCTTTTAGCTCCTTTTAGAAGACATGATATCCCTTAAAAGCTGACCCATGTACTCTGAATTTCCCTTCCTTCCTATTGCATTGAGTGTTCCTTCTCTGAAAAGTCAAAGAAAAAGCCTATGTTCCACCTTCCTTTGTGAATGTTATCCTACTTCCCTTCTCACGACTCCTACTCTATTCCTCACACCTCCACTGCTACACCATTTTCTCTGCCAATCTAGGGCAGCCTGGCTCCATCTGCTAATGACATCTAATAACCAAACCCAGGCATTTTCCTGCTTTCTCAACACAGTGAGCCAGGTGTGGTGGCACACACCTGTAATCTCAGCACTTGAGAGGCTGAGGCAGGAGGATTGCCCTGAGTTTGAGGCCAGCCTGGGTTACTAGTAAGTTCAAGGCCAGCCTTGAACTACACAAGGAGACCCTGTCTCAAAACAAAAACAAGGGCCGGGGATTTAGCTCAGTGGTTCTGCCACCTGCCTCAAAAGCGAAAGGTCTGGAGTTCCATCCCTGGTACCAAAACAAACAAACAAACAAAGAAAACCAGTGATGATATTGACTGCCCTCTACTTCCTGTAATTCTCTGTTCATTGCCTCTAATTAATACTCTGGATAAGTCTTGGTCTTTTCTAATTCTTTATTTTCTTTCTAGACCTTTTCCTTAACTACTAAATATCACTGTGATAGAAAAATACATGAGAGGGGCTGGGGATTTAGCTCAGTGGTTTCGCCGCCTGCTGCGCAAGCACAAGGACCCAAGTTCAGGCCCCGGTACAAAAAAAAAGAATATTAATAGGAGAAATTGTACTCCTAGTGCAAGACATGATTAATAAATCTAGAGAGGAGCTGAGGAACATGATGGAATCCCAACATAGGAAACAAATGGAATCCATAAAACAGATGCAAATAGATTTCCAGGAGAAAAATACATGAGATTCCTAAATCATCAAGAAAGTTCTACACCCATAGTTGTAACTCTTAGACAAACATCCGACCATTACAAATGCATGCTGTGTAAATAAATTTCACCCCTATACTGGAGCATGGGCCTCTTGTTTCATCTGAGGGCAGATAAGCATGAATACACATCGTATTGGAGATAGCAAAACAGACAGTTTTTCAGTAAATGATACATTATACTCTGTAACACAGCAAAGCAGAAACACCTCAAAAGCTTAAGGGTCATCTAGGGGAGGAAACCCTCAACGTGAACTTGGAATTCTACAGATAGGGAGAAGACCACCTTCAACTTTAGAGTCAGAGCACCTGAGAAGTATGTACTGTGTTGGAGGAAAACCATTGAGAGATACACAGGAAGGAAGATGTTTATGTTGGAGCCTGTAAAATGCAGCAGATTTGAACCCTAGCTCCACCTCTTTCTCTCCATGCAACTTCAGGCAAACTACCACATCCGTCTTTGCCTCTGTTTCCTCATCTATTAAATAGGGATTAAAAGCCGGGGATGCTGGAGCATACCTGTAATCCCAGCACTCTGAAGCAGGAGGATCACAAGTTATAGCCCAGCCCCGCAACGTAGTGAAACCCTGTCTCAAAATTTTAAAAAAAGTTTTAAAAGGCCTAGGAATGTGAATACACATATACACATTGACTAGAGAGAGGAAGGCTGATCTTACAGAGTTGTGTGAAAATGAGCCAGTGTGTGGTAATGAGCTTAGCACTGAGCCTAGCACAAAGTGAGTCCTCACTAACGGCAAGTACCGTCACTTCAGTATCACCGTCACTGCCAGGACCATGGTTGCCATTGCTATTATTGAGAAATTAAAAAGGGAACAAACAATTAAAATCCCATTTAATTAGCAAAACTAAGAGGTAATGAAAGCCCGAATTAAGCGCCAGAACAAATAGACAGTTTGCAAAGGTAATGGAGATAATGAGCCCATAGAATTTAGCATCTAATCCCCCAAGGATATGATTTAATTGGACTGGGGTGGGGCTGGTATCTTAGTATTTTAAGCTCCCCAGGGAATCCTAAGGGGCAGCCAGAGTGGAGAATCACTGCTCTACATGCAAATCAGCTGCCGAGTAGAAAGAGGCGCTGAACTTTCCCTCTAGGCTAGAGGTGTAAATAAGACTTGAAGGCTTTTACAAAGTAGCCTTAAGAGATTTGGCACTGGCTTTTTTTATTAGAGAAACTACAACCCTCTGCATTATGAAAATTTATTTTCGAATCAGGAGTAAAATGTTTTAAGAAGAGCAGTAGTGCAAGTGAAGGAAACAGC